TGCAGTGTTTACCATTTGTATTATAAAATAACATCAATCCATTGTAGCAAAATAGTTCCCTTTTATTTAACACTGAAATCTTACGTGATTAGTAAAAGTAAGTGCACGGAAACTAGTCTGCATCACGTCAGTAGCGTACACCCATCGGCAAATGGTAGACACTGAATTGACAAATCAGAGCGCGCGCTTGACTTTGGTTATGTTATAATAAAACAGGTAGCATATTATATTTCATTTACGCTATCCTAGCTGTAGGCAGGACAATTGACACGTTTTGAGCTATGTTTCTTGTAATGTTACTTTTAAGGAGTTCAGTGGAAACACGGACCAGAACACTCTTGTATTACATGACCTAAGCCCTCCTGTCACAGCACGTTATATTCGTTTTTTCGTTCTCGAGTGGCAAGCCTGGGTATTAATGAGAGTGGAGCTGTATGGTTGTCATGGTAATCCTTAAAAATTCCATCGTATTCTATTATCAATTGTCTTGCTTCATCATCACGTGATATGCTGTAGGTGACATTTAAAGAAGACATTGAATCCTTTCGAGAACCTGATATTGCTGCGAGTAAAGCCCATACTTTAGACTTAAACCCAGGTTTTTTTTTTATTGTTGAATAGGACAGAAGAACTTGAGGCTAAACCAAAATGGAATCATCGAAATAATTGAAAAAGATTGCTGAAAGAGTTATTGACAGTGCAAGTGAAGGTCATGTTTGTAAATTCTAAGAGTTTAGGGATCGAAACGAAATAACTTATCGATTTATTTTACTCTTAGATTGTCGTCGCGCTTTTGGTATGAAAAGTGGTGAAATTTCTAATGCACAAATCAACGCCTCTTCAGAACTCGACGATAATCACGCCGCCAAACTAGGGAGGCTTCAGTCAAAGGTAATTGGAGACAAGAAGGGTGCATGGGTCGCCCCCTAGGAGGACCTTAACCCGAGGCTGCAGATTGATTTGCTGAGGCAGGACACCAGGATAACACTGATAGCCACACATGGAAGATCTGATCTCGCCCAGTGGGTTACAAAGTACTCGCTACTGTACAGCAATGACACAAGTAACTTCTTATACTATAAGGAACAAGGGCAACAAAATGTAAATAAGGTAGATTCGAGAACTGTTTTGAACTAGTTGTAGTTGGCAGACTTTTAGTAACTCAGTAACTGTAGCAGGCATGGAAACATGGTGCTATCTCTCGAGACACTCAGTTGCAACGCCTCTAGTATCAGTGGACACCGAGATCGAAGTAACCTCAGCATAAAAAAACCACTTTTTTTTTTGTTTCCTTTTTTGACCTTTCAGGAATATAATGGAAACTCCGACAGCCACTCTGTGGTATCATATGAACTTAACCCACCAATTACAGCGCGCTATGTTCGTTTTCAAGCTCTCACGTGGCACTACCGGGCAGCAATGAGGGTGGAGGTGTATGGCTGTTAAGCATATGGTAATGTCAACGATATTGTCATATTGTAACTTATAAAGTTCAGTAACTATACAATGTTTCGCTCCGACAAAGGGCTAACGCTCGAAACGTCAGCTTTTGTAATCGTTACGGTGGCCATTTTACCATTTCAACTTTGTTGATACATCCACTGAATTATACAATGTTTTGACAGCTGTCATTTGATGCCAATCGCGCATAAGAAGTATTATAATAGTGCAGACGCAAAGAAAGACGCTGATTGATATTAGTGCGAGCTCGCAATATGTCATGAAGACTGGTCAGAGGATTCTTTAGGGTCACTTAAGGCGACCCTGTGGTATGACAGCTGTCACTTAAACATCTCAACGCGGATGTCCGCTATCAGAACAATGCACTGGCTGAGATGATCGATTGCATGGAAGGCTTATTACAATTTGGACAAAATGCTGTAACAAGTAGGACAGTTATGCATTAAGGCCTTCAATATCGCCTGTAAGGGACATTGAAAAAATTACATTAAAGATTACATTGAAAATACTTGCTTTAAGGAAGTTTATAGCGAAGACTCCTCTTGACCGCAAGTCCCCACATAATTCGATAAAGAATGTCTTTTTACTGGCAACCGTTTTCAGAGGGTCTCGATGCTGTGATTGCTCTTACGGATACAGTTAAACACACCTCAGTCTGAATTGTATCTTTATAATTTTGTTTTCTTAACATGAGTCTGAGGGAAAGGTGTACTGCTGGATGAGATTAACTACATAGAACTTCTTTAGTCTCTTTCTGATAGTCCTTAGCTTCGAGCTTCGCTCTCGAAAAACTGAACGCATCTCGGAACAAAAATTGTCCGCGGATAAATATCCGTGCATGTTTTCGCGCCTAATAGAGGCTATTGTTTTTTATATATAGGGACTATAATAATGATAAATTCACCTTGTCACTTCCCCAGTGACAAGTCACCAGTGGCTATAATTAAGCCAAGTGAAATTTTTAGGCCAAAGTACACTTTTTTCTCTTGTAACGATTAAGTCATCAAAAACTCTCTTTTAAGCAACCAATGCACGAATTTTTCTCGACCATGCACAAGTTTGTATGAATCTCTGGTATCGAGATTTCACTCAGATCTGTTCTACAGAGGAAAATCCATAGAAAGTTTTTCTTCTAAATGCCAGGCTATAATCGAAAAATGAATAAGAAAGTGGCATACTGAAACACAGTGAAGTTGTCGTAAAGGAAGTAAGTTTTAAATGATTTATGAGAAGAGAAATATTGGAACTTAGGTGGCTCGTACCGGTTTTCATCTTTTTGATGGTCTGTAACTTTGAAAGAATACAACAGAAAGACTGACCATGGCCAGTTGAACACTTTTACGAGGTTATATAATAGTTGGGTAAAACTAGTACGAGCCACCTAAATGGATCCAACCAGTTTGACTTTGTGCATTATCTTTTCTTCCTCAGCGACCTCTCCTTCCAGTGCAAAATATGGCACCTCAAGGGAGGGCTAAGTGCGTATGCTCGATCGCAAAAGCGCTAGCACCTAAAAAGCATGATTCATGAATGATGAGACCCGACGGCTTTACTAGGAACGCTCTCACAGTTACGTAATTAGTGCTTTCCATTTCCATTATTCATGACAATTTTTTTTTTTTAATTCTTTCTTTCAGGAAAGCGTAGTTGGCTTCCATCATTTACCACGTGCAACTAATTACGGCTAACACCGTTCATTGCTAAGGCTTTTCAAGTGTCAACGTTTCTGCAATCGAGTATTAAATTAATGCCTGCGTAAAATGAAAGTTACCATTGTTTGCGTGTAACGTTCTAAATGTTAAACGTCAATTGTTAGCAAACGCTGCAATTAAATGTTTTTTTGGGGGTGGAGGGGTGGGGGGTGTTTTTTTTTTTTTTATAACACTCTACTATCAGTAGTTCTAACATACCACATTTTCCCAACATTAAATTTATCTCAGTATGTTTTTGTAATACCTCTGAAATCATAGTAATTTTTATGTGGTGTTTCCAAACGTGAAAAAGATACTTTTTCAACTAAAAACAATTTCAGATTTAACAAAAAAATAGAATTTGTTTCCATTAAGATATATTTCTTCAGTGGATAAACTTTCTTAAATTCCCTAGTTTTCCCAAAGGCTACTCTACCCATGATTCCTCTGAGGCATTCAGTAACCAGTCCTCGGATTCATCACCGGTAATCTGGGTCATTAGGACTGACTGAATGATTGTTCTATTGTATACACCGAATGCAAATATGGCGTCCAATTTGAATTGCCATTGTTCTGGACTGACTAGCCTCGTCTTCACGTGGAAACACAAAAGGATTATTACATGTGTGAGAGGCTAGTGAGTCCAGAACAATGGCAATTCAAATTGGACTCCATATTTGCATTCGGTGCATAGTTTGTTCTTCCCTTCTTAAAGAGACTAAAATCGCATAAAATATTAATTTGCCACTGAGGCTAGCAAACTTAAACCATAGTAGTCAGGAAAAGTATTACGTGTCTCACTTTCATAAATAATAATGGAGTTATATCTTACATCTTGTTTTAAAATAAGGTAAATATCATCGCATCCGTGATATATAAACAAAGTATCCCTATCCAGTCTTTTTCAAGTAAATTTGTGTCTAAAGCAATTTTAACAACGCAACATAATGTCAATAGTTATCTACTGATAAATAAAAATCATTTCACATCTGCCCGTAAGTTATCTACCGACAAGTAATCATTAGTTTCATTGCAAGTCTATCGTGTTCTGCAAAGTATCACTCATTTTAAATAAAATGTGTCTAAGACAAATGTGATTACCGGTAGTTAAGCAAATTCGAGCTCAACACATATTTCAAGAACCATTTTCACTGTGTATGAAAATGTTAGAGCAAAGTCTTCTCATGACTCAATCAAATTCTAGGTATCAAATTGCACACCGTCGAAAAATGAATTGTAAATTGTGATCATAAACTAATCAAATTGATGGTAATTATCAAAACTTTATTGCAAAATAAATATATCATCTTAAGTTATTAGCATCTCGACTACTGTACAATCTTTTCAGTATCTCTATTACTCATAAATTTGTAACAAGTCATCCTTGTTCCCAATAAGCTACTCACAGGCCAACAATTTTGACACTGAAACAGCTTTAGAATGGCATCAATTCAGAGGCTGAACTTCAGATATGCCAAACTATTTGTCCTATAGAGTGTGAAAGTTTCTAAAGAAACTGTGGTGCTGCGTCGGTGGGGGTAACAAGGTAATTTTGCTTTATTACACGACTCGGGCAGTCAGAGCGCCAATAACTAAAATAAACCAATCAAAATGCTCTATTCTCGGTCAATATTCTCTCAGTATTGGACCGGGCACTGTCCAGAATAGTCCCGAATGATACCGCACTTGTGTCCCTTTGAACTTCAGTCTTATAATAAATCTCTTATTAACCAAGCTTGCTCGGGACCGTACTGGAAGAATATCGGCCCTCGGTCTTTTTTGTACGGACCTCGCTGCGCTCGGTCCGTACTGTCAAGACCTCGGGCCGATACTCTCCCAGTACGGCCCTCGCGCTTGGTTAATAAGATATCATATTAACTAGGTTGAAATTGTAAACTAGCCACCGTAACGGGTTAAAAGCTCACGTTTCGAGCGTTAGCCCTTCGTCAAAGAGAATGCTCTGCTCCCTCCTCGTCATTCGCTCTGACGAATGGCTAACGCTTGAAACGTCAGCCTTTTAACTCTTTACGGTGGCCAATTTACAATTTCAACTGAGTTGATATAACCAAATTGTTTGTCCTATACATTACTACATGCCTTGTATAAGACGTGTAAGTTGTGTGTCAAACTAGATACAAGTTGCAGTCGTGTTTGTAGGCATCAAGCATTGGATTCCTGCTTTTTTGCATCATTGCTGGCTGCTGAACCTTGAGTTGGAGAAGGCTCTTTTTCTCTAAATGTGATCTATGAATAGATCACACTTCCAAAAACACTGTGTGGAGAGGAACAGACATTTGTCTTTAGTATGTTCCCATGATCATGTCGATTAGAAGTATCTAACCAAATGAGATAAATGTTGGAGTCTGGCAGAGAAGACAAACAATCAGGGCCCAGTTGCTCAGAGAACGGATAACGCTATCCAACGGTGAATCAATATTAAATGGAGTGTTACCAAAATGTACGGCGCTATCCACCGGATACGGATTTATCCAGTGGATAGTGTTACCAAAATGTATTGCACTATCCACCAGATACAGATTAATCCAGTGGACAGCGTTACCAAAATGTGTGGGTATGCGTGTGTGTGCGTGTGTGTGTGCGCGCGCATAGTTTTTGTTCTTGCTGTTGTTTTTTGTTGGTTGCAAACTTGGTGTTACCTCAGGACTGATTTTTCTTTTTTCTTCTTCTTCTTCTGTTTTCTTCTTCTTTTTTCCTTTTACCTAAGAATTGATTTTTTCTTTTTTTTTTTCCCTCTTTTTCCCCATTTTTTTTTTCTGGGTGAGCCTACAAGGTAGTTGATTCCTCTTTGAGGAGTAATATACTAGGAGACCAAGCCTTCCCACACCAATTTTTTTCAATCAATTTTATTGATCTTTATTGAGACAACACACAGAGTTGAGTTCAGCTGGAACATTTTACGCACAACTGTTTTAAAGGAAGACAAGTTTATCCATCTGATTAAGTTAATCAATGTTCCAACCCTCCTACCACTTAGACCTGTATGTCCGTTGATCAATTGATAGAAATATTAAACAATAAATTTGTGATGTTGGTGTTACTGTGATTGCGTACCATAAAAAACATTATAAGAAAATCTCCATGAGAACATTAATTTTTGTCACTAAAAAATTTTTGTCCTCACCTTACATTGAGCCCCATAAAGTTTCTCACAGTAAAAACATAGTCACCTCCAAGGAACATACCCAAGTAAGTCACTAAAATATTCTGGAGAGAACAAAATATCTCATTCTTCAAATTAGAATTTAAAAAATCCTGTATTTACCATCAATGCACACTTTCAAGACAGACATGACAATAACTATTAAAGGGAAGGTACGGTCTGGAAAAAGTTTATCTCACTTAAAAGACTTTTTCCTCAGGAGTTCGAAAATAACTGCCATTTTGTCTAGTTTGCTTGTATTAGCGACAAGAACGCTTCGAAGTTGCCCATTTTTACAACTTTCGTGGTTAGAAAAACGCCATCTTGGATATTACGTCATTGTGATGTAGCAATAGTCAAACTTAGTTTGGCACTTTGTCCTTGTTGACTAGTTTGACCTTTTTTGTGAAAACAATTTCTAGTACTCCCAATAGTTGAAATGAGGTGAACTGTCCTGTTGTTGAATGTCAAAATACATAATAAAATTCAAAAGGAAAAGGTGTAAGCCTCTACGAGCTACCGGAAAGTGAAATATTAAAGAAAAGTGAGCCAGCAAAAATGACCCGCGACGACGGCTTGCCGAACCCTGTACAACTTCGGAACTCAGTGCCAGAACGAAGACTTCCAGCGAGATATACAGGCATGTAAGTTTTCCTTGTTGACCTTCGCTTCGATCTCTCAGTTATTTATTCTAAAATTTTTTAAACCATTTCATTGTGAGCGAATAAATTGAAGCTCGTAATGGTGGTACATCGTGTGTGGTAAATTTTCAGTCGCCACCCTTGACCAAAGCCGATTTTCAACATCATGCGCTTTACCAAGCGGAGTACTGACAAATATATCTTGTCTTTCCTCAGTCTGTTGAGTCCATCGAGTAAATTTTCTTTACCCCAACAGTTATATTCTCCTGAGGAGAAAAAAACTACATGACATTTAATACATCGCAAGCAAATTATCAAGACAAACACGTTTGCGACTAATTAGGGACCTTTAGCAATGACGACGAGAACGTAACCGACCGGAAGTTGGGAAAACGAACTTCGATGCCACCACGCATGCCCAATCGAGCGCGAGTCGTCGTCCACATCTCGTTCAGGACGCCATTTGCCGTCTTGACGAGAACGTGAGTATGTTTTCTAATTTCAACTTACCTATCTTAGGGATTTCTTCAATCTAAAGGGTCGGTTGAGATATAAAAACAGTGCCGAAAGTAATTTGATCGCACCGTGATGGGAAAAAACTTGATTTCTTTCGAGTTACAGATTGAGCTTTACAGTTTACAGCGGAGAAAGCATTGGCGGATGATGATAAAAGTGCTGCAGGGTATGTACGTAGCCTTATAAATGCTTTTATAAATATAAATCGCGGACATTTCGTTATAGTATTGTAATTTATACCAGCTGGCATTTTTAAAAAGATTGCTGGGCTTTGAAAAACATCCGAACCGCTCGGATCGACTGTGTATGTAAACTTAGCTTATAATTTTGATATATCAACAAAGTTGAAATGATAAATTGGCCACCGTAACGATTACAAAAGATGACGTTTCGAGCGTTAGCCCTTCGTCGGAGCGAATAGAGGAATTGTGGGTTGTGTGCGCTTTTAAAGGCAGAAAATGGAGCTATGTTATTGGTGGGAACATGGCAACGAGAAAAACAAGAATAAATTAGTGGAATGAAAAGCGTTCGTTGATCCCTGTGGAATTTAGACTGCCGGTTTGAAAGATGAGCTTTTGTTCAATATTTTTACGGCTTTCCGTGCTACCTAAGTGCAAGGAAAGACCGCAGATTGCCATATGTTGCTTAGAATGATTAGGTGAATTAAAATGCCCAGCTACTGGTTTCGATGTGTCCTTGTCATTCCTTTCCACGTCTCGAAGATGTTCTCGGAATCGGTCACCTAGTCTTCTGCCTGTTTCGCCGATGNAATCAGCCTGATGTTGTTAATTTTCTTTGTAAAATTTTGTATATGGAGTATCTGGGGAATTAGTATGTAATGATGTTTAAGCCTTTGTTTATTTATAATCAATAGTTATTTTGTAATTGAAAATATTGAAAATTAACTATTATGAACTATTGATTATTATTAAAAACTATATCATTGGATAATGCAATTCAAGACTTTTTATTGGCTTAGCCATTATGGTATATCAGCCAATATACCATAATCTACAAATATGGCAAGCGTACGTGTCAGCTTTAAATGAAAAGGGAGCTAAAAATTTAATAATTTAATTTAACGTTTTTAATAAAACAACTATTCCACTCGCGCTTGTTGGATATGAGATGATTATAGCCAACGAGGCGCGTATTAGACAAATCTTACCAAATCTTAAATTTTTTAGCTCCCTTTCAATTTTAAGCTGACGCGTACGCTTACCATATTTGTAGATTATGGTATATTGGCTCATATACCATAATGGCTAAGCCAATAAAAAGTCTTGAATTGCATTATCCAATGATATAGTTTTTAATAATACAAATTATGCTTCGTCAGGCAGGTGCCTATATTTCACTATATCATATCGATTGGACACGATAATATGAAAATATTTATGTCTTCCAACCAACTACTTGACGTAATTATGCAGTACTTATGCTTTCAAAAGAAATCGAAAGTTTCATTTTAGCTTCAATTATATTGAGGTAATTTCCAATGTAAACACGGTATGACAGAGGCGATTTTCCGGCGCGCGTCGAAAATAACAAAGCTCTACTTCTCACAAGTCGCGACATTTCAAACATATTAGAACGAAAAATACTGCGTTGAAGCTAATTCTAAGCAATAAAGATGAAAAACAACTTTGAAAATTAAAGGTAAATGCTGAAACAAACAAAATTTAATTTGTAACGATTAACTTCTGCCTCTTATCAGCGTTAATTCTGGCAAGTTAGTGTTTGTAATCAATTTTGTCAGTGTTTACGCATGCGAAGAAGGATCTTCAAGTCTAGCATTTCTAACTTGTTGCATGCCAACTGGGGCTGATCTTAGTTCCAAATGGCTCGTGTTCCGTCTATACACCGAGGCTAGCGCTGGGTTCCTGTAACTGCAAAAATAGTTCGTCTCATTCCGAAGTAGCAGAGTAAAATGAATCCGTAGCGGGCACAGCGGTCTTCTTTAGCACAGTAACTAACACTCCACAGCTAGGATTTGTTTGAGGAAAAAACCTTTGCCTTTCAAATTGAGTCGGTGTCCTAGTACATTTAATTCTTAGGATACATTCTCGATTTCCGTAGGTTTCTCTTGGCAGTTGCCGCAAGAGAACCACTCGCGATTTCTAAGACGTGAGCGACTGAGCGGGTCGACGTTTCTTCTTGAAATTCATTTTCTTGACTTTCTCTCTGTCTTTCTCCCCAACAGAAGTATCTCCTTCCCGTGAAGACGAGCCATGTTTCGTTCGAAACATAAATGGATGTACTACATCCTCTCGCTAGGTTAAAATCCAAGTCGAGAATTCAATAGGTGGCGCCCCCATCGCCGCTGTTTTCCTTCTTTACATCCACTTCAGCAAGGGATATAATTTAGCATGTTTGACTATTGCTACGTGATAACAAAGATGGCGCATTTCAATTTGAAAATTCAGATCTTTGGAACGTAATTGTTAGCAACTAAAACGCTTTTAGCTCAAATGAATAGCCAGTTAGGACAATTCAAGCAAGAAACTTTTGATCTAAGTAAACCTTGTTCTAGACCGTCACTTTCCCTTTAAATACTACATCACTAGATGTTGAACAACATTTCCAGCTGCATTTTACTCAACGTAACACATGCATGACCATCTATATGCATGGTTTCCACACTATCATCTATTAAATAAATTTCCTATGGTACCAACAAGAATAATTTGGTTAACAATCAAGATCATTTCATATATTCTCATCTCCTTGATGTTTGATTTAGGGGTGATTTTGTCAGGAGAGATCTAACGCTGGTCACTCTTGGGGCCTGAAGGGTTTAAACAAGAAGCATTTTAAGGTGTAATCATTACACCAACAAAGAGAATCACAAATAAAATCACATCATTGAATAAAAAATCGTGCATTCTTATTCATTAATGGAGCGAGGTATTTAGCATGGAATTGTGAGTTCAAAACGAGGCTAAGTGATGTTGTTTTGAATCTACGTAATACTATACATAGCAACTATAAGTAATGCTTTTTTTCTCTTTTTTTTTTCTCATTTTTATTTAATTATGTGATTCATTACTTGACTCCTGAATTCTGCATTAAATTGCACTTGAAAACCAATATTGCACTCATCACTTCGCAATCCATGTGATATCGGTTTTGCATGCAATTTAATGCAGAATTCACGAGTCAAGTATTGAATTTTCCTATTGCATTTTACCTTCAGACACCCAACAATTGTGGTAGTGAGTGCAGAATTAGCTTGAGTGCACACTACTATAGAATACATCAGGATAAACCTAGGTTCAGATCAAGAATAAAACAAGAGCTTGTCATGAGGTTTGTACACACTCGACATGAAATTTAAATAATTGTCATAATCATCGTATTTAAGGTATAATAGGCTGAGTGTTTAAAGCATGGGGAAAATATTTTTAACAAAAATCCAGAGGAATTTGTAATTTGGGCAGAAAAACAATTGTAATAGAGGGAACTTAATTTTACTACTGATCAACAGACCATTTGAAGACAGTTCATTATTTTCATTTGAGAGAAAAAAATTAATGGTCAGTGCTAAATAAAATAAAGAAAATATTAATTAGGATATAATACACTGGGTATTTAAAGCATGGGGAAAAATATTTTTAACAAAAATCAAGAGAAATGCTTTGCTAAAATTTGTAATTGGGCAGAAAAATAATTGTAATAGAGGGAACTTAATTTTGCTACTCATGATCAACAGGAAGAATAAATAAAATAAAGAATAAAAAATAGTTAAAAAAAGGAACAAATTTAATATGCTAGAGAGACCTCATACTGACATGTATTTTCAGAGGCTTGCAGAGTAAAGAGAGTTTTGAGTACAGATCATATCATGGCAGTAAATTAAATGCTTATTCATTATGCTCAAGTTGGTTATCTTACCCCATAATACAAGAGGCAGTGAAGTGTAAAAGAAATAGTGGATCCTTCCAGTTACCATATTGCAAAACCTTTAAACATCAAAAAGATGAAACGAATCAGATAATAAGTGTATATTTTAATCATGTACTGATTATAAAAAGTAATCACTAGCTCACAGGAACCTCCAAACAAAGTAGTGACTGTGTCTCCATAGGCCTACTACTGACATTAATTTTTTTTGTGATACAGTATATAATTCACGTACTGTTTAATTAGTTTACTGTGTAATTAGTTAACAAATTATAGTTACATCCAGAGTTTGTTTGACATCATTTATCTGGTGAACAAAACTGACTTATTTAAATTTCTTATGTCAAGCCAGCTTCAAATAGGGCAATGCAGTAGTTCTCCCTGGCTTAATAATTTACATACTGTATGTGGAACAGCAGAGATGACAATTTTTGAAAACTGTACTGCTGAGCAGTTAAGAGTGGTTGTCTGTAAAAATCAAGCAGAGTGCTGAAAATAGAAAAATTGAAATTTTTTCAAACTTTGCCAGAACATAGGTATGAATGGCCTTAGTGACGGAAAAATATCAAAATTGCCGCCACTGCAGTAGCGAGAAATGGTAGCATGGATGATAAGTTTTGAAAATGGTGGAGCGGGCTAAAGGGCATACTCCTGGCATGGCAACTACTTAGTCTGAAGGTAGCATTTTGTGTAATTAAAGCCTGGGCAATTCCTTCTGATGTTAACAAAGTTTTTGTTATGGCTGGGTTGGTATTAGTTGCGAATATGGCCGTTGTAACAACATAAACCAGCAATTTACATATACTAAACTAAAGAAAATTGCCCAGATTGCCTTGACTATTTGGCTTCAGGAGAAAACTATATGTATATTGAAATATGAAGGAGACCTGTTTCGAAGTTTTTGTATGATATACGAGGGAATTCGAGTGTTTTGATGTTTTTCTTAAAGGAGCACTCTTAGGAAACCGCCCCATAATTTGAAAATCCGAAAAATTCAGTTATTTCATTATAATATGAATTTTTAGCGATTAATAAAGCCTTTTCAAGAATAATTTTAGTTCAAAGTCAACTCTAGGGTGATATATTATAATTTGAAAACCGTTCCACCATTAATTTTCGTAATCACTTCGCAGGCTCAAGAAGACTGGCGCGAGTTTGGAGATTACTCATTTGACGCGCCGTGCTCATGGCTAATTTTCAAAAACAGTATTTTGATCGTCTATATTGCTATTCATAACACTAAGAATAAGACCATTTCACTAAATTTCACAAAGTTTCTGTATAAATATGAAAGTGTTTTGAGTAATCTACGTCACAATGGGAGGGACCGTGACTTAGATTACTCATTTGACACACCGTACTTGTGGCTAATTTTCAAAAAAAGTATTTTGATCGTATATATTGCTTTTTATACACTAAGACTAAGACTATTTCACTAAATTTCACGAGGTTTCCGTATTAATATAAAAGCGTTCTGAGTAATCTACGTCACAATGGGAGTGACCGCTGACCAAGTTGGCTGTGACTACGAAAATGAATGGCTGTTTTTAAAAATTGATTTGTTTTTAAAAATTGATAAAACAATTGATTTTTACAGGCAACCACTCTTAATTATGTGTACAAAAGGAGCTGGGCCATGCTGCCGTAGGTCTGTACATTTTAACAAAATGCAGTTGTAAGGCATCATCTGTGCTCTGTTACTAATTACAGACCCATGGAAAAATGGAATATATATTTTTTCGCTGTGGCTCAGATCAATCAAATTCATGTTTTGCGAAGGATATTGAAACAAACGGATCTCATCAGAGGTGAGTATTCACTGACTGGTTTGACTTACCTTATCAAATTCTCCAGCAAAGTAAGAAATGAGGAAAGCTGGAAACAGCATAAACATGGCATTGTAAAACAATAAACCATATTTTCCTAGTTCCTAAGATGTACAAAAGAGGTTTCTTTTTATGAATGATACAGATTAAAGCAGTACAAAATTGTAACGAATTTCAAACTGCCCTGATAATCAGATAACTCTTGCCCTGATGCTGTTCTTGTGTACTGCAAAGCTGTAAAGTTCAATTTTAATTGTATCTCTTACAATAAGTTAAGTTTAAACTCGATCTAGCCAGGGTTAATGATTTATGATACATAATGCATGGGTAAAAATATATTTTCAGGGCTTCACTGCATGCCATAAATCAAAACTGGCTACAGAAAAAAGCTAATCAATAAACAAAGAGTAAAAACACTAGCAAACTCGCTACATTCTCCACACTGATAATTATGTTGATTTATTTGTTAATGTCTGCTACAATCATTCTGGAGCCTTAGGTTAGCAATTTTTATTCTTTAAATTAGTACTGTAGCTAAAGTTTAAACAGCAATCCACATACACATCACTTGCCTTGGACTCTAACTTTTTCTTGACATAAACACCTAGTGTATGAGAATTTCAAAGAATTTTACTGATAGTATATTTATCTCGAGCAAAATTAGTTTGTTCCATCAAAATTTCAACTCATAGTTACTGTAATTATCATAAGAATGGGGATTTGGCTGTGAACCTCCACGAGATAGCTCTGTGTGTCCAATCTGTTTCCTGGTCAAATTGGAATTCAGTATGTTGGTTTTTGCAGAGAAAAGGAAAGCTGAGGAGATGCATACGAGCAACAAACTCGACCCATGTGTGACACCTGCATGAGGACAGAGATTCTAACCCAGGTCATGGTGTACATAGGTGGCATGTACTGTAGATTAACTACCTTAGAATACCCTTCAAGTACAGAAAAATGTAGTTACCATTTGCTGCAGTGAGAACATCATTGATAAGGATATATACATAACCAGTGGCATCAAATGCAAGATCTCCGCTGAAACAAGAAAATAATTATGTATTAAACATCAAGGTTTTGTGATGTTGTTGAGGAATAAGAATGATGACATTTCAAGTATTACTGATAATACATTCACATGGACTCTAGTAAACACCAACTGCTGTCAAGAGTAAATTGTTTGCCTCAATCCTACCTACACTGGGTCTGTAAATTTAAAATGATGAAAAAAAGTAAAACAAAACAAAACAAAAAAAAAGAGAGGAATCAGAGTAGATCTGCAATCTGAATGCCCTTGTTTTGTAAACCTTCCTGCCACTGTGTAATCCACAAAAACAGCAGCAGGCACAAGTGAAGCACATTCCTTATTGTTAACTTGTGGCCCCTAACTTGTATCCTCAGTAAAGAGTTTCAAAGCAGCAATTTCCTCAGAGCAAATCACTGCTGTTATTGGCTGTTATTGAAGTCTCATACCTTAATATAATTATAATTTAACCAGGCACCCTTTTTTTCAGTAAGGCTGCTTTTTATATGAATTCTCAATTTACTGATCATAATGTCATCAACACAAATTGTTCATCAATTACCTTGCTGCCATAAGGGCACCAAAAATCATAAGAAACACTGTAGCTTGCACTTGAAAATTTGCCTTTGACCTGAAAGTTAAGACAGTTATCAAAATTATGCACTAGGGAACTTTTACTTAGTGTATGGACTGTACTCAAAATGATGTCAAGACCTGTGTGCAACATAGTTCATGTGGATGAAAAGACTTTAACCCATTTAAATAGCCGCAGCTTTTGTGAAAAACTGTGTTTCAAAGCTAGTCAAGCAGATTTTGGGTCACTCAGTTGTGGTTTAAAAGCTCAAACTTACCACAAACCCATTCACAGCTTGTACACTCGACTGCCTTTTGATCCAAATGCAAAATGGCGGCCTGAAAATCTCAGGCAGGTGCAGAAAGCAAAATTTCCAGATACTTTTGGGTTGAAAAGTAATGCCCCACTTATGACTTTTACTTTTCTCTCTTTCTCTTGCCCTTTCTTTTCCCCTTTCATTACCTAAATTTTCCCGTCACTTGCTGGAAATTTTATTGTAGGCTTCATTTTGGTGTAGAGATTTTTCAGGAAACTACTCATTATTTTCAAACCACATGCTCAGAAAGGTAGTTGGGTAATGGAAAATAAATTTCGTGCAGATTTTCAGGTCAAAGTTACATGTTTTTTTGGCTATTTCTCCTGTCTCCTTCACTCAATTACGCTCATTCTGGTATCGTTTGTAAGATATTTTCAACCTGTTCAAGTATGTGCTCAAACTCGTGCTCCAGGGCTAAAAGTGATGACATGACAAGGGCTAAATAGGGTGTGGTTCCACATGGGCTCTTATGGGCGCACTGGACATCAATAGGTTAAAGTATATGAAACCATTGGATCAATGCTGGTGCACTTGTAAGAAGTGAGTCTGGTGACAAACTTGTCACCTTAGATAGTATGCATTAGTTCTATGACTGCAACATATTTTTTTGTTTACCATTGATGAAATCAACTTGCAGATTAGTTCAATGGCAAAAAATATGTACTGCGCATACTGTATATTGAATGGTCATGCATGTTTCTGTAAAGTACTCTGTCTCATTTTGGAGTATTTCAGTTAAACACCATGGGAAAATACATAATATTATAAATATTGTAAGAAATATACAACTCTTTTGAAAGACATGTTTCAGCATGCATATGCCATCTTCAGTCAATGAGTAACTGAGTGTGAACAATTATATTAAGTATACAAGTAGATGAATAAATTATTTACAATATGATGTGATACAAAAGTGGGTACCCATTACAACGTGACACCAAAACATCAAAGGTGTCAACTAGAACGCTAGAAAAGTGTTATAATGCTCTAATTGTTTGTTAAGTTCAGGTTTGATCTTATTTATATAAAAAGCTTCTTTGAGACAGTATAAATCAGTTGAGTTGTTAGCAGAATCTAGAATACTAAAACAAGAAGGGGAGTATTTGTTCTTACAAGGAGGAGATGTGTTGAAATAATTAATGCAAAAAATCCCACTTGAAGAAATTGTTTTCATTTGCTACAGCCGAGACTCATTTTCGTTTTAATGGCAAAGTTTATGATCAAGTTGATGGGGTAGCAATGGGTTCTCCGTTAGCAACCATCCTAGCCAATCTTTTTCTTTGTTTCCACGAGGAAAAAGGGCTAAATAATTGTAACTATTCGACTCACCTTCTACTTTATAGGCGCTATGTTGATGACACCTTTTATGTCTTTCACAATGAACAGGATGCTATGTCATTTTATGATTACATTAATTTGCAGCACCCTAACGTAAAATTCACTTTCGAGAAAGAGAATGATGGTAAAATCCATGGTAGTTTACCAATTTTCTTGTGCGGGATGTAATTCCAGTTATATTGGCGAAACTACTTGCCACTTTTAAGGATTTCAAGGATAAAGGGGTATGCGGAAAGCAATAGAAACTCACATATTTTTAAGAATTTCAACACATCTCCTTCTTGTAATCTTGAAGAAATACTCCCCTTCTTGTTCTGGATTCTGCTAACAACTCAATTGATTTAAAACTCAAAGGAGCTTTTTATAAATAAGAKMWMA